TGTGTGTGTGTGTGTGTGTGTGTGTTAAATAAACGATTCTCCTGGTGGAAAAGGTTTACGTAAACTGGTAATATGAGAAAGCAGATATCATGCTGTAATATGTACGTGTGTGGGTGTCTTTGTGTGTGCGGGTGTGTGTGTGTGTTTGTGTGTGTGTGGGGGGGGGAGTGGGGTGTGTGTGTAGGTATGTATTTGTGTGTGTGTATGTGTGTATTTGTGTGTGTGTGCAAGTGTGAAAGTGTATGTGTGTGTTTGTGTGCAAAATGTGTGTCTGTGTGTAAGTGTGTGTGTTTTGTGTGTGAATGTTGCACCATGGATCTGGAAAAACTGTTATTTGTTTTCAATATACTTTTTGTTTGCGTTGCACTTTTAGTGCGCCCCAGCATCTTATCTCCTGGGAATGTATGTAGTAGTAGTATAGGGTTTTACGGCGCTCGCAACTGCTAAGGTCATATGAGCGCGCTGGGAATGTATGTATAATACGTATAATATGTACTTTAACATGTACATGCCGTATTCGTCAGTAATGAATTTATAAATTATAACGACTTTATATTGTGCAATGTTTGTGACATTAGTTTCCTGGAATAAACCGGGGACAGAGGAAGGGGGAAAATAGGGTGGGAGGGTGGGGGTAACTAGTTAAGTCGCGGTTCAAATCCAACCATTCAGTATTTTTTCCTCTCAAGTTGTACAGAAGAGCACGTCTCTCCGCACCATTTTTCTCTAGGCCTACCGCCTGCTCCACCTCACTCATCCCTGGTCTAGCCAATCACAACGTCGACTGCCTGTTTGGAGCCCGCCTACAGCCCCCCCCCCCCAAGCTAGAGCTCGCTCGATCTCTCCCTCTGTATCCGAGTTCGGGACTTTCCTTGTCCCTCTATATCCAAGCATAAGTAATTGAGTTTTTACATAGGAAGAAAAACGGGGATTCCGGAAAGGTCCCGCTGTAGGTGCCGCTATAGTCATGTTCTACTGTACAGCATCCGCCTTACTAAACAGCTGCAGTTCATAATGTTTTACGTGCAAATGTGGACTCTGGTTTTTAACATTAATTTATTTTGCAAGTGATCATTTTCTTTTCTTTTATCTTCTATCGTCTGTTAGTTCAGAGAAAAGGCTATTGTCTCGTCTTCCTCTTTCGGTAAAAGTAAAGTTAATCCCTCCAGTTTCGAACTTTATGAACTATTACGCACACTCAGGGTCTCTTCTCTTCCTATGACTTTTATGCCTGAAAGGCGCCTTTAGGTGCAATTAGAGTGAGGGTCAAACTTTACTTTTACCCCTCTCTTCTTTCAATAAAATGCTCTACCCGGGGAAATGGTTGGGGGAGAGGGGGGAGGGGGGTCAGGTGTGTGTGTGTGTGTGTGTGTGTGTGTGTGTGTGTGTGTGTGTGTGTGTGTGTGTTTGTGTTTGTGTGTGTTGTGTGTGTGTATGTATGTGTGTGTGTGTGTGTGTCTTCTAGGAGTATGGTTGGGGGAGAGGGGGGTGGTAGAGAGTGAAAGGACGGGAAGGTGTATGTTTGATAGAAGGGAAGAGAAGGGAGGGAGTGAGTGTGAGTGAGTGTATGTGTTTGTGTTAGAGAGAGAGAAACTTGTTTGTGCATGTTGGAGCAATATAGCCGTGACTGTTGCTGGTGTTGGGGGTGGATGTTGGAGAGGGTTCTACTCTGTCTGTCTGTCTGTCTGTCTGTCTGTCTGTCTGTCTGTCACACACACACACACACACACACACA